TTAAAGATACGGTGCTCCAAAAGCTGACCAGTATGCTACCGACGTGAACCCAGTCCTAACACAAGCAATTATTTAGCTTAGCGGGAGGGGTTAGCGGGAATACTAGTAATTTCGGTTCCTAGTAGGCCTTTCACAAAAGAAAATGTTGCATTCATCCATATTGTTACGAGCGGGGTATATAATAAATAAAAATTGACAGTCAATAACTTTACTTCACTGTATTTACAAACACTTACTACTAGGAATCACCATATATCTTGTTAGGCGCACTAGAAATTCACTCCGATGTTAGGTCGCTGTGTCGTAAAACAAAACTGTCTCGAACGACCAACACTTTTTTTATTGCGCTTTTGAATTTTACTAGAAAGTTCCTAGTACTCGAGAGTCCGTGCCAAACAAACACGAATTTTCTAAAATCAGTCACGCGTTACTTGCAGCGCCATCTAGCGCTGTAAGGATCAGAACTACTCGTATTAACCACAATCTTAATACATGTTCTTTAGTCGATACTAGATGGCGTTGTCCTACACATTTCATACAATCGAACCATTTAATCCTATGGCGCAACAATATGCAATCTGTAAGTTTTTCAAATTATGTTGTAGATGTTTAAAGCCTCAGTTATTATAACAAACATTTTATTAGATCGCTGTCTTTCATCCACGTCTTCGCTTGTTTTAATTATCGTAATTTCATCAGTCAATTTTTCATTCATAAAAGATACAGGTACACGTATGTGCTATTCCAGACCGTAATCTATTTCTGTGCCAAATATCATCCAGATCACCACAATAATTATGGAGTGACAGAATAACATACACCCATCTATACTTTTGCATTTATAATAATAGATATATATTAATTTCACATAAGCTGTACCGAAAATATCGATAAACTATATCCCATCACTATCCCAACCGTGTTAGTGGCTTTACACGTGTGTACCATGAACAAAAGATTGGGATAAACCCATTTATCTGAGTCGAGATTTTGCCGCATGTTCGCGAATTAAACACACATTCACAGATCAAATTCAACAAGTTATGTTATGTATAAGATAACGTTTTATCCTATATCATGAATAAGTGTGAATTATTAATAATTCAGACTTATTCATGATAAAGGATAAAACGTTGTGGAGGTACGGGTGTCATTGTCCCTCCAACACAAAGGGAGGATCCTCCGACCTGGCGAGGTGATCATGCCTGGCGGGCCGCGGCCCAACGGTTGATGTTGGGAAGTTGTATAAATGCTAATCGGCGAGGGAATTCTTTATATCGCGATACAGGATTAGCAATTCTTATTTTAGTAGTTACTCTGTAGTTCGGTGTGTCTTCTTTAGATGGCGTTGTAGTATGTTTCTGTTTTTTGTATGTGGGAGTCGCCACAACGTTATCTCTAAAATAATTTATTTTTAGGTTCCTAAAGATCCGAAGGTATTTCCACAAAAAAAGTTTCCTAAGTAGCTTGTTTTTTTTTAATTTACTATCAATAGGATAACAAGTTTTTTCTTTCAACAAATATACATATACCTACATATGTATATACTTCTACTAGAAATAAATGCCATGGAAAAATGCCTTACAGCATATTTGTGGTCAGTCTGTCTGTCTGTAGTGGTTCTTTTTCTTTGGAAAATGAAACAAGTATGTCTGCGTACCCTTGTAGCTGTAATAGCTGTAAAAAAAATTGAACCGACTTCAAACAATACGGACAAAGAGCACTAAAAATTATAAAATAATTACAAATCTAAGTTAAAAACTATAATAAGTACCCTCAATATAACAGGTAACATTATAATAGCTCCCTTAGTCGGCTCTTTCGACACCCACGGGATGATTGGGGGTGGTGAAAATCCGTATTCATAATCCGTTACCGTCACACCCAAGGGACTATATATATATATAGATTTGTAATTATTTTTTAATTTTTAGTGCTCTTTGTCAGTATCGTTTGACGTCGGTTCAACTTTTTTTTAGAAGGATTTATTTAATCATTTTTAGTGTAAGATATGTTTGTAATGAGTAGAAGAGTACGATATTTAAAAAACCACGTACCGTAATGTATAGTACCAAACTAGTTGGTTAGATAATATCAAATTAAGTTTAATAAATTGGTTACTTTATTTAGTTAAGGTAGTAAGATGTTACATTTGAAAACGAAAATATATTGTTTTCTATATTACTTAATTTTTCAAAACTAGGAGTGGTATTTTTTCTTCACGTTTTAATGGAACTAAGGGGGAAATGTATAAAAAAAGATTTTTTATAATCGGTGAACAAATGAAAGTTTGAGGGAACAAACATTATCATTTTTTCTTGTCTAAAAGTTTTGTAATCTCATATATTACTCTTTTGTGCACATATCTCCGTAACCCAATACAAACACCTAACAAATATCTTGAAAGGAAAAAACAAGGTCAATACATGATTAGACTTTCGAAAGAGTTATCCTCTAAATCTTAAAGGTCAAGGGCTCTTTCAGCATCAGCTCAGCTACATGACATAACGACTACTAAACGTTAATACCTATATAGCTAGACAAACTAACTAAAACACGTTTTCGGGTTTGAAACTTTGAGGGTATCCCGCGATTTCTCCAGGATCCCATCATCAAATCCTGATTTGGTGGTAATGGACCAACTCGGGAGTAAACCCTTTCGGTCGTAAAAATAATTTAAAAATAATTTTCGTAATCGGTTCACACATGAAAGAGTTTTGAGGTAACAACCATGAAAATAATTGCGTAATAAACATTTCATTTGTCTAAATGTTTTGTAATCTCAATTATTACTCTCTTGTGCACATATGTACCTATATTCTCTGTAACCCAACACCTAACAAATATCTTGAAAGAATGAAACAGGGTCAATACATGATTAGATTTTTGAAAGAGTTATTTTCTAACTTCTAAAGGTCAAGGATCCTTCCATCATGAGCTCAGCAACATTCTTTTTGCCAAATTTCGTGATTCTAGGTCAACGGGAACTACCATATTATAGGTTTTCGACCCAAAACCTATAGGGTAATTCCGCTTGACCTAGAATTGTCAATTTTGGTTAAAAGCAAGGTCTTACAGCACAAGTAAAGAGAAAATTCTAAAAAAAAAGTTGAAAATTAAGGTAAATTTTGGCACTTACAAATTTTTTGCGAAAATCATAATTTGCCCATATGATTTTACCGTGTTGACTCAGGACCTTGATTTTTCTAATAGGGACCATAGACCTAAGTATCTGGTATAAATTTAAACTTCCTAGGTCTACCCGTTCCTGAGAAAATCGGTGGTGACACACGGACAGACGGTCAAGAAAGTGATCTTATAAGGGTTCCCTTTTTACCTTTTGAGGTACGGAACCCTAAAAAAACGAATTGATAACCTCCTCTCGTATGTTTTTGAAGTCAGTTAAAAATGACTCTCTTTTAACAAGGAGAAACTACAAAAGGTTATAGAAATCCTTTTTACAGAAGTTATTCAATGTCATTTAATGTTGTCATTCTTTCCATTAGGTCAGAGTCAGAATTTGTCCAGCTTAAACAGTAAACTAACCGTCTAAATAATTTAAACATTCCATTTAACCACAGTTGTATTCGTAACTACAAAACTTTTTCTTAAGTAAACTGCGCGAGGTACTTTTAGGTTAACATCTAAAAATAAACTCCCTCCTATATAAAGCTTAATAACCTCATATCTACATAAATAGACAGATCAATGAACCGTAGAAAAATAATATTTGTAAGATTTATTTGTACTTACAACACCCTATGGGGAACTGAAGAGGGTGTATATCTATTTTTAACTAGCAACATTGGCATCACACCTGGCCAGTTTCTTGCACCCATAAGTCAAAGCTCTTGTTAATTTTAAATATAGAAATGTGTGCATCAGCTGTTTTTTTTTTCACAAAATAATTTAAAAAAATAAATACCATACTTAAAAAAGAATAATATGTACTACTTGTAAGAGGTAAAACAAATGAGGTTAACACAACCTTATTGCAGTTAAAGACAAAAGTGATTTTAAATTGACAAATTAAGACACCTTCTTTAAATCAGTGTAGAAGGTAAATAAAATAAATAAATAAGGAAAGCTTAAGCTTCATGGAAAAAGAAAAAATATAAAGGGAGTTGCACGAATATGACGATGAAAATAACGTACAATTTATGTTTATTGTAAGCGTCGATTTACTTATTCTTTTTTTTTTCTTTGCATAATTTGCTTTAACCTTAAAAAAAATACAGCGCCATCTATCATCAATTAATGTAACTGTTTTAAGGCACACCCTACCGTGTTGGTTACGATAGCACCGTTACCTTAGTTTGTCAGAAGTTGATAAAGTTTTTATAGTTGATACTAGATGGCGCTATTACATATTTACTTGTCATTTAATTTTTTTAGTTGTTTATATTTTATGCGTTATCTTATTCCATTAAATGTTGCATTAAATCTCTATTTACGATGAAATAAACGAAATATTTCCACAATTTATGCTGAAGCACAGGTTTTCAACCTAGTTCAGCAATGGAGGCAACTAATATGACACGCTTAGTATAATGATAAGTTTTTAAGTTGATAAGATTTGTGAAAATCTGTATACACAATTTGGAACAATAAATATTATTATAATTATTCTATTTATTTATTTTATATACATATTAATTATATTTTTAAACACATTTAAAAAAAAAAAAAAATACATACCTACCTATTTAAAAATTTAAAAATAGTAAACCACCGACATCGGGTACAGGGACCAAGACACCGATGTTTAGCACTCTAAAGATACCTCCTCACTAAACTTCTCAAAAAAAATCATAGTTTTCGTTATTGTTTAAATGCCTACTGAAATATTTTATTACCTACCATGAAACGTAACATTTGTTACAGTAAATCACAATTCTAACAATTAATTTCTATTGTTTCAGATTGCCCTCGACCGCTGAACGAATAATTCCTCCAAAATTAGTCACAAAAAGTTCCTAGTAGTTTAATTTAGCTTAAAAATGTATAATTCCAATGAATTCTTGCACAGTGCTGGGGTCAGCCGACACATGCAAGCGACTGGCGAAACCCCTTCGCAAAAGACCAGCATGAAACGTCGATCATGCGAGGTACCTCTTGGAGATATATCTGCTAATAACTTCAAAGTATCTCTGAGTGATTTGACTGGGGAAGGACCTAGTTATGACTGCCGATCGCTGCGGTCTATCAAGTCCGAAGACACCAGATCAGTTCGCAGCTATCGGCCTATTGACAGCCGTAGTTACAAAAACTTCAGGTCCTCTCTAGCTGATATTTCCGGGTATTCATTGTCAAGGCCTCCAAGCTATGATCAACTGTCGAGAAGGTCTTTGGTCGAAGGTCCTGATGGACAAGGTATTACCTCAAGTATTGAGGGGGTGCTGTGGTCGGATGAGGAAGAGACGGAGTACTTCTATCAGGAGAATATTACGGCGGCTTGGAATCAAGGTAAGAGAATAGAATGAATCTTGCATGACTCATAAGGCTATATATTGTATCCTCAAAAGTTTAAGTAACTCTCTTTTCCGCATCAAAAAGAGTAGGGACTAATCCCACCCACACGCCCACCACTGTAACTCCTGTACACCAGGATCCACAGCAGTGACCCACGAACACACCGAGTTATGACACTCGGGCAGTCCCAGGAAGTAATTAAACTGACTTGGAACCCGCAACCAAATTAATCAGAAGAAAATTGGATGAGTTGGAAATACAGTAAATCCACTTCCCTCCTTAGCAAAAAGAGTAATATACTATTTATCCTAATCAACCATTATTTTCGATAGAATTTCCTTCTAAGGACGACTCTAATTCTAGCAGAAACCTGCTGTGCCCTATCGCTCTAAATAAAACATATAACCGTTTCTTTAAATAGAAAGAAGTACATATATCTGCCGCTTTCGATCCCATAAGGAAATACCACGATAACTAAAAATACACGTAATAAACTATAAAAGTTCACCGAGAGTTCATCAACCTTCCCTTCCATATGCTGGATGATCAATGGCCCACATCACCATGATTAAATACCGCCGCAATGCAAGATGTAATATCATATCATTGATGTGGTGAAATAACTTTTGGTGATGAATAAATTAACAAATACCCTATGTAAAAGGAGTTAGTTTAGATTCTCTTTTTACGCTTCATCAACAGCCTATACTAGTCCACTGCTGGACATAGGCTTCTCCTTAGAAAGGAGGTTTTGGCCTACTATGCCAAGCTGACCAGACGGGTTGGTATGGGGTTTGTTTCAAGTTTACCTTCTCTTTGTAGTGCTTTTGTCTTGTGTAGTTTGCTTGTTTAATAAATGGATTTAAAAATCATGTGTTCTATAACAGAATACATAATTTAAAAAAAAAAAAAAGTATAATATGTATGTCATGGAGGGTGGTGTCTGGTACATGCAGTGATAGTTCAAGTTATAATAGCCAGGAACATAAGTTATGATCGTGCTTATCAAACAATTATTTGTCTTGAGTGGGGTTTGATCCCACGATAACTGCTGCAGCTAGAATCAGTTATCACAAAACCTGTAAACCAGTCGAAGACGCAGTTTTTTGGGTTCTCCGTATAGGGACTCTAGCTTTTGGACGGGTGTTTCGCTTTCAGTAATTTTTGGGGTAAAGAAAAGTAAATGTGTTATTCCAGAATATAAACTACTGGCCTGTTGGTCTAGTGGTTAGTGACCCTGACTGCTAAACCGGAGGTCGTGGGTTCGATTCCCGCCCAGGACAAATATTGTGTGATGGTGTGATGAGCAACAGTCATTTGTTCTATGTCTGGGTGTAATTTATCTATTTAAAAATATATAAGTATGCTTATCAGCAGTCTGGTTACCATAGAAAACAGGCTCTGCTTAGTTTGGGATCAGACGGCCGCGTGAGATGTGTGTTGTGTGATTGTGGTAGAATATTATTATTATTATAAAGCACCCCTTTGTCAAATTTCATTGAGATCTATTTCATCTATTCTGATTATGAACATTTACTCATCCAAACTTTCGCATTTATAATAGTAAGTAGATTCGTCAATTACCGATAAAAAATCAATTTGAACCTTCACTTATTATTCCTTAGATTTATATTTATTAATACTTGGATCCTGTAACAAACAGCATTCTGGTATCCAACCTATCTGTAATTTTAAATAGACAGCAAAATGGTGAATCGTTTTTAAGCTCACTTCCAAGGCGGCCTTCTAGCTGTATACACAGGCATATAAACAAGAGTTTCCTGCTGATCGTATCTTGATCGATGAGCGGTAGGGACAGTCTCTCTAATTGAACACCGTAATGAGACTACTGTACTGAATTGACTTTCTTGTACCTTCATAATGTATATAGGTATTTATGTAAAGTGAAATCGTTGATTAAATAGGTTCTTACTTGTCCAAGTCGGCCTGTTAGTCCTATGGTGTAAGTAAGCTTTTAAATACGTAACATTTTAAGTAACATTAAATAACTTTGTACATCTCACCCACGGCCGGCAGATCCCTAACTAGGCAGAGCCTGTACTATGAGATAAGTCTTAGCAATACCATCATTAGATCGCCAGAGCCATTAGATAAATCTACTTGCATTAACGTTAGTATCGAATGAAATAAAGTAATACTACCATATTGAATAAATCACTAATCCCATCGCTCTTTTTTGTTCAAAAAGAATATTTATTTCGGTATCATTATCGCCAGCTTTCGCATTCCAATTAATAATTTTATTTATTTATTTATTTTTAAAAGACAACTCCCGCACTAGGAATAAATCCTGTGTCGCGGGGGACTTTACAAACATACATGAAACGGACACAAAGTACACCCAGACTCAGAACAACAATTTGTGGATTACACAAAGTGTCGTCCCATGTTGGGTTTGAACCCTCAACACTCGACGCATTAGGAAGCGGCGTGGCGACCGCTTAAACCACTACGTCATCAGGGCAGTCTATTAAAGATAAAATAACAAAACCACAAACATTTTTCTTCCTACACAACGATAGTAGGATGTGCAATATATCCTAAAGCATCTAAGTCAACAAATACGATCAATAAATGTAAAGTCCAACGAATAGAACCATATAAAGGACGTATTATACTCATGACATAAACTGTACTAAGGGGGTCTCAATAAATAAACTAATAAAAACTAGGTATCTTAGTAATTGTGTAGTAAGAACTAGAATATGAATTAACAGTAACTTTATAACAAGTTAAATGTGTAGGCTTGAAGGTCTACGAGAAGAAAAACTAATGGATACGGGGCTACTAATTGTAAGTGTATTATAAACGTTTGTTTTAGGTGATAATGGATCGAGAACAGTGCTAAGTTACGATGTTCTTTTTGGCTCTCTAGTATTTAACTTAACGACATTCCATTTTTGCATTTGCATACATTGTAGGCTGCCAAATTCCAATCTGTCTGTATTAACTTATCTATTTGTACCCTGTCCATTTATTTCAGTTTGGCTGTTTTATAACTGTCTTCATAATTATGAATGAATAAATAAATTAATAAATGAAATAAATTCCAATTTAAAGTTAAAATTCAAGATATTTCTTAAAATAAACTTAATCTTACCTAAATATTATTAAAAGTAAATATGTAATATTTGGTAGCTAATATTTTTAGCTCCAGCAATTTTCACACCAGAATATTTATCTGAAGATACAAAACAAGGCAATGTACTAGATAAACTTAACATATTTTAATATTTCTTTTTTAAACTTTAAAATTATTGTTCAAGTTTGATCCGAGCCAATTGATATCATGCCAATTACGGTATCGAGTTCTAATCGAGTTTGACGGTAGTGGGGCTCTCACGGCGAGCTTAGAAACCTAATTGGCACAAGAGAGTGCCACATCCTGACAGATAAACCGAATTAATGCTATCATTCTAAGTTAATTGAAGGTTGTAATTTTACCCACTTAGGGGAGAAATTGTAAACGTGTTGATTAAAAGTTTATGTAGTAGCAAAGAAAATGTAATTATCATCATTTACATAGATTAGGGTGGCCAAGAATAGCGGACTGGTTATCCACCCAACACATAGAGAATATCTTCTAGATATCATCGTGCAAGGACGACCGGATGGTGTAGTGGTTTGTGTAACGGACTGCTATTCTAATGGTCGCGGGTTCAATTCCCGCTCAAGTCAAACATTTGTGTGCATGAACATGTAATGTTTGATTTGGTCTGGGTGTTTATATGTATAATATGCATGTATTTACAAAAAAAAGTATATATGTATTTATATCAGTTGTCTAGTGCCATAGTACAAGCTCTGCTTAGTTTGGGACTAGATGGCGTTGTGTGAATGTGGTAGAATGTTATTATATTATTATTATTAATTATTTTATATTGGCATATATTTATAGAAAACAGTACGAGAAATTTGTTTGCGCGTTAAAGGCTCCTTGGGTACGATGAAGTTCGGCTTATTTTCGCCAGGTGGTACTAAACTCGGAAAAAAGAAGGTGGTACTAAACTAAGTACCTTAACTCATTAAATGTATTGTGCGAAAGATATGATGAATGACAAACAGAAGGTCCTGTTAGTCGTTTAAATATAGAAAAGAAAGTTGGACTGTGGAATGACGTCGTTAACATGTCTAGGAGTCTAGACAGGTGATTGATGCACAAGTTAGCGGCACGACAGGGCGGGACAAGTTAGACGGGATGACTTGTTTTGCATGTTAACTAGAAACAAGTGTCGCATGTTGATTAGTCAAAACAAAAGAAGTCTTTTCATCAAAGTTTATAACAGAAGAGTAGAAGAAGAAACGACTAGCGGCTAGCTTGGTGTAACGGGACAGCAGTAAGTAAAAGTGTTATTTGTGTTAGATAGAGCCGCCAAAGCTTGGATTTATTCGCAGCCATGTTTGCGACGTTCGACTGTGCTGCGAACGCCACACTTTGTTCACGAATCTATAAGTTACTAAAAAAATTTTTTAGTGTTGGGTTGCCTTTTTATCGAGGAAGGCTGTAGCCTATACGACCAATAGCAGTCGAGTATCAGTAAAAAATATTGCAAAAATACGGCAAATTTGAGAGGATCAGACGAAGTTGGACGTCAGCTATTTACTTCATAATAAAATGTTTGTAGCATTTCCAATCCGTGCCGTCCGAGTCACGGCTTTAACTCGGCACGTTCTTAATCTGATTTGTCCTTTACACGTGTATTGCCCACTCTATCAGCAGCAAGCCAATTCTCGTAATACAAGTGTTATACATCCAACGTTCACTGTAATATGATTATATCGTATTGTAACCGAAAATTGAATCGGTAATCTGCTTGTCTTAGTAATACTTTACTATTTTACTACGAAAATACCTTTTGTCATAAAAGATTGTGACATCGAAAGTTGAGCGGAACTGAATTGAGACAGAACTTTTATTACGAGAATTGGCCTTCAGGTCTCTCATATTTAAGGTGTCCGAATGATTTCTTTGGATGCAGAATACGGGAAC